ACTTTGCATGTTTTTGCGAAACATAATGCAATACATTCCTATTTGCGCGAATAATTATTTGGCCAAACAGACGAGTCGTGCAAATGTTCGTAATGTTGCATGTAAATTACATGCATCAGCTGCATTATGCTACTGATAATTCGAATTATCCGGACGAATGGTTCGAGACTTTTTTCAGCGGTCGAAATTGCCGGAGGTAGGATAGGAATATTGGAACATTTTCAGGAGAATTTCTTCGCTATGGTGACGACAATTGCACCAATACCACTCCGTCTGGATCCCTGAGGATCACCCCCGTTCCAAAGATTACGGTCGACATCTCCAGCTACAGTATTTCGATGGAATCTTTCTCTCCACGGTGAAAAACGGGAACACCGATAAGATTGCATTCTACCCAAGGATGGAGCACCGTGATATATGTACCTTGTTCACTTCAAGTCGCTTGATTAATTATTATAAAAGTAATCTCGGTAAGATTATTGTTCCAACGTCTTATGGTTGTTCGATGTGCGCGCGCACGCGATTAGATCGAAGCAGCTAGATGTCATCAAAATTAGGTATTCTTCCTTGCATGTTTTAAATTGAAAAAAAGAATTATTTTAATCGGCAATGATGAAAAATTCTTTCGGAGTCATGACTCGGGAAGCTAACTCGTTTAAAGTAGAACGCGATATTCGACGAACCTATTAAAGCAGCTGTAAGATATTGATGTATCGACTAGTACTTGTCGAATATGTCGCATATATGACACACATTTAAACAGCTCTGACGTGATACACACAGCGAATGAAATTTTTATGCTGCATGCCGCGAATAGAAGGTTTCACGCCGCATTGTTCCTTCGAATTCTATCATTCGATCATTCTATCATTCACCGTGAATGCTCGTTGTTTTTAACCGCACGCGAACAGACGGAAATGATCTAGACATTGCCAACAGACTGGGCCAAACTATTTTGGAAACATCGTACAGTCTATACTTTTTAGTTCTACGTTTGCCATAAGACAAAACAAAAACATGATAAGATATATTACTGATTTTGCTTTTACCATAAATACATTTATTTTACTGAGAAGTAATAAACGTCCTTAATGTATGCACAATAATTACTTCATGCGTAATATCGATTGTCTATAACATGTTTTTGTATCGTCATATTGGAAATACATTTTTATATTTAAATTTCTTATATTATTTTAATTAGCTTGTTTTTACACATATAATCGGGAAAATAAAACGGAAGAACATTCATAATAATATATATTCACACACAGAAATATATGTAAAACTTCTAAGGAAACCGAATTTATAGTGCAATAGTGTAGCTATTTCAACTGTCAGTTATCGCGGATGAGAATTACAGAGTCAGATAAGACGAAAAATTAGTCTGATGTAATTTGTTTATGACATGCTCGCGCTGTCTTTTACTACTTCTTCACACGTGCAGCCCGACCAATAAAAATAATTAAAAATTCAAGCAGAAAGTTATATGTCAAATTCTAGATATTCAAGTTTGTTCGAATGCAGAGAAATGGAACCAATGCGCAACCTGGCTATTGAAAGTTCGTCTACAAACTACCTGGACACAATTGCCGGACATCCTGCGTGTTCACACTAGAATTATGGTAAAATAGTTTGAATTCTCACTCACAATAGAGACGTAAGTACTATTGTGCGCTGCACGTTTGAAAGACTCTTCATATCGAATCGAGAAGAACCTGGAAGATAAAACAATAAAAAGAAACGATACAATTGTCGAGGTTAAAGTATTTATCGTGACACATAAATGTCGTGATTGACCTACTTCTTTCTGGATTTACTTCCCGCGTCAAACGTTATCATGCTTTATTACAATAAACGAAAAGATATCTGTTATATTGTATATTGATTTTTTACTTTATAAATCATATAAAATTGTTTCAAATATAAAAAATATTCTAAGTCACTCATAGGATCAATAAAATTTTTTTAAAAATTTATTGCACTCTACTTGCATTAATTGTATTAATTTTATATTAATTTATATGAATTTTATATTAATGTTTTGACAATTAATTTTTAAAACCCTTTTTGAAAATTTTTTATATATACGTTTTAAGTTGATGTTTCTTTAAACTTTCTTTTTGCATACAGTTTTAAATGGATATTTTTGAAGTACTTTTTATGTATCGTACTCTTTTCTATTTTTATAAAATTTTTTTGACGTGTAACTTAATTATTCATACTTTTATATTATCTTTATTTGCAAAGTAAATCAAATTAATAATATGGAAATAAAATTTTGTTTAAGTTTATCGTCAAACGAGTTATTCGTTTGAACGTGCACAGAATACAAGTACGTATCGCATATAAAAATGCAGATAATAATAAATAGATTTCACGCCATTAATTGTCGATAATATATTTCCATTTATATATTTGGCAACACATTTTATATATGTTCAAGTCTCTTATATCTTTTTAATTGACATTAAATTCATTTATATACTAAATTTAATGTCGTATGACCTGGAAAGCTTATTAAAAATTTAGTAAATATCTACATTTGTATCCGAAGAATAATCAATTTACAGCCATTGCGAATAGACGTATATATCTTGTAAAAAAAATTTTTATATTTCTATTTATATTAGATTTGTAAAGAAAATTTTTATTAAAAATACATTTAATTTATATATATAAAGAATAAAGAGAACTCAATAAGAAAGATATAAAAATCGTTATACTTTATTTTACATTAAATGTGACATGAAAGCTTGAAAGCATCTTTATTTCGGTCTTTCAACGCTTCCAAACAATACTTCAACAGTTTATACACATCCGTGAAAGCATTTGAAATACAGAGTGCAGTTAGTGTCGCAAGAACGCAGACGCTATTTTGCGGAACAGTCTAGAAAGAGAATATCCACGGCTGGATACGCTTTTATGTGTGGATGGTGCCCGATCTTCTTTTGCTTTAACAATATTTTTCAGTGTCACAAAGCGTGTCACGCGAGGCACATATACCATTGTACTGAGGCCAAGGTACAGTTCCACACAATCTTTAATATCTTGCAAGAAAGTTTCGTTTAATTTTTACGAAAGGACGTACAAATCTAATCCCCACTAAACGTTTATTAAATTATAGCATAATATAATTAAATTTAAAGCATTTTAAATATTAATTATATTTGCAAAATATTTCATGTTCTGTAGCTTCAACATCTTTTATTTAAATAAAGTTAATAAAAATGTAAAAACAACAAAATATTATTTTTTAAAACGCATTTTCAAAACAAACAATTAAAAAAGTATTGGTTTTGTTATTTATATGAATAATCCGAGTGTTTCCTCTTTGAATATTTTATTTTGTAAATATACACATATGTATAGCATATGAAAATCGGGGGACAAAGCAATAGCATTCAGACATCTATTATTACCTTAGTTTCCTATTATCACAGCAGTGATTAAGTCGATCGATTATCCAGTTATTAAATCTCAGTCGAGCTTGGCAAAAGTGAAGGTACGGAAATGATCACACGTTCCCAGCTGTTATTCCGTGGAATTCTGTCTCTCATTATTCGAATGAGGTCGAGCGCTTCATGTTTCTATTATTCCGTAAAATTTTTCGGTTTCAGCTTTCATCGATAATACTTTGCAATATATTGTTCTTACTAAATAATAAAAAAAATTTTTTGGGTCTATAAAAAGTTGCGAGCATTTAAAGTTCCGAATGTTCTTTGAAAATAGTGGTAGAATAATAAGTTATTTTGCACATTTGTATAATTATGATGTCAAAAAGCTTCACGCATCCATTTTTTCATATTTTTACTTAAGTAGTCGACTTGTCTTTTTTCTGTGATGTATTCTCAAAAAAAAAAAAAAAAAAAAGTACGAAGAGTGTGAGATCAGGTAAATGAGAAGACTACTAAACGGACTCACACAACCTATCCACTTGTCGCCAAGTTTCTCATTCAAAAGCCATTGCATAATTTTAGCAAAATGCGAGGTAGCACAGACTTGCTAAAACCATATTCCTCTTCTCACACTAAGTGTTACATTTTTCAAGAGTGGAAAAAGTTGAGTGTGCTATTGCACACGATGCAAAATATATATATATATATATATTTAATTATATTTAACATCATTTTTATCTCATCAAAACAAAAAAAAAGGAAATAAATAGCTTGAAGGAAAGAGTGAGAGTAATTTTTTAATACGTATTAATATCTATTATTATTCATCAATATATCAATTATATTATATTATATTATCAATATTATTCATTAATATATCAATTTAAAGTTCTTTTTCAAACGTTGATTGTTTGCACAGTGTTCAAAGCTGTTTTCATTAAAGTTGAATAATTTTACAGTTTTTATCTTTCGTAAAATTTTTTTATACGTAGCATTTAAATCGTTGTATTTGAAAAACGTTTTACGAGCATGTTCTATTGTTTTACGCGACCATTTTCAAAGTTAAAAATAAATCTTGCATATATACTTGTCATGTATAAAACTGCAAACACATCGCGCGTCAAGTATCACAATCTGTACAACCCCCGTCTGTTCAATCATAAACGCGGTTTCTGTCACTTCTGTCAACAAGCATCACCCAACAAGCCCTAAAGTCGTCTTCAACAGTTTCAATCGCTTGATGTCGAGAGGAAAAGAGAGAAAAAGAGAAAAGGGAGATATTTCGCACACGAAGAGAATCTTAATTAGGCAATCACAGACCGGCACCTTCGGTCTCCGCAGGCCTCGTGCTGCTCTCGTCTCTTCTTTCCTCTTCAACAGCTTTCCGCGCTGCATAATCGCCCTCATCGACCCTCGCACCTCGCATCTCTTTCTCTTTCTCCCGCACCTGCAGCCACCCACAACACCCTCAGAGACGGAAGAACTCTTCTGGCGGCCGGTTGTCGGCTTCCCTCTGTTAGGGACATGCGCAGCGACCCGCGGAACGACAGGTGCGCGCCGCGTCGACGGCCGCGAAACGCTTAGTGTTGGGTAAGCGCACGATTCGCCTCCACCTCGGCCTCGAGACAGACCGACCCGCCAGTCGCTCGCGACTCTGTCTCTGGCTCGGTTGCCCGTTCCCGCCAGCCTCGTCGTTATCGTCGATCTCTGTTTTCTTACCTTGCACGGGGCTGCCAGCGATCGGAAGAAAGATCGTCACACCGTAAACGATCGCACAATCGCGTTTCACAAAAATTGCGACAAGTCGCAGATTCTCGCTCGTGGAGATCATCCCCTAAATTCCCGCTGGCTGTCGACGCCCCGGAACCGCAGAGAATTCACCGCCGCTTATCGAGCGCGCACGTGTTTCGCTCCGCTCTTTCTATCACTTCTCTCTTCCTGTTAGTCTTCCCTCTCTCAAAAAATTTCCTTCGTACGACTTTCTATTGAAAAGTGGTGGGTGCGCTTTCCACGCGTTTTTCTCCTCGATCGGACTTTCGTCGCGTGTTAATTTTATCCCGATAATAATAAAGGTGCGATCATTCCCTACTCCAAAACAATTTCGGAGTGCTGGTGCGGCTTTTCCGGCAAGTGGTATCTTCGTCTCGAGCTGACGAAACGCTGAGTTCTCGCCGGTTTCGCCAATTCGACCGTGAGTGTGGCTATTTTGAGTGAACGTCACCGTGCGGTGCTCTTGATGAATGCGGTGCGTTAAGAAAGTTTAGACCCGTCGGCATCCCGGCATCCCAAGTGGATTCCTCCTGACCATGCATCGAGGACAAGATCTCCTCCGCAGGATCATGGGAATGCAAGCGGCTGCAACGATCGTCTTTCTGTTTCTCGGCGGATCAGTTGTTTTACGTGGAGCCGAAGGTGAGTCACCGTTCTTAATTTCTCGTTTGAAATTGGCTTCTCAATCAATTATCCTTAAGATTTCTGCGATCTGTCTACACGTGTGTGATGTATTGCACGCGTGACAAGTATTTGTCTGAACAAGAAGAAAACCACGAAGCTTGCGAGCATAAATTTAGTTGCGTGTGATTTAATATATCGGAGTAAAAAAAGCAACGTACAAGACGAATTTGAGATTAAATTCTGCCTTCATTTTTATCGTTTTTAACCAAAGTAAAATTCGTACGTGTTAAAAATCACGATAAAACAATCATATTTTCTGATGCAAAAACAAGGCTTCAGCTGTAATACAGAAATAAACCATGCCGTGAAATCTACTTAATCCGCTGCCTAAAAGATGTTTTATCATCCATAAATAAACGGATGTAAACCGTTATGACGCTGTTCGCGGAGCAAAGCTTTCTTGGTAGCTTAGTCACCCTGAGAGACACAGTTTCAACTGCTGAAGACTAGAAGTTAGTAATACATATCTGCGAATATTTTGATATATTTAAAGATGAAATAACAGCACACCGAGAAAAACAATATAAAACGAAATTATATTAATCTAGTGTTGTATAAATAATAGCATATTTTGACTATCAGTTTTTGCGACATCGTTATTAATTTACATATTTCTGATAGTTTTGATAGATACATATAATATATGAATGACATAAAACTGTCTGCAAAAATGATTTGGAGTCGGGATAGCTGAAAGTGTATGACATGTTAAAAAACAGTATTGGACCCCTTTAATGTCTCCCTGAAGAATTGAAAATCTCGACGAAGAGAAACAGACCGACGAGAGAACGGGGAAACAATAATGCTCAGCGAGCAGAAATCCAGAGAAAAACGCTTTTATGTGCAGGTATAATTTCCCCCGTGGAAAAGCGGCGCCCACTGTCCCACCTGCGATTCAGCGAAACGAGATTTTAATGTTGCACGAATGGCGAATGCTTGCGCGCACCGTAAACTGCACGAGGACGGGGCCTCGCGTGCTCAAGGCCGTGGAATAATAGCTGTGCACAGCCCCCGGATGTGTGTACGGCCATTGAAAATCAGATGAAAGGGAAAGAAACGGACGCGATATCTGCACATCTTGAGGGGCTGCGGGAAAAGTTCAACCTGCATGCATACGCGGCATTCGCCGCGACACACGTACCACACGCACACACGCACGCACACACACACACACAATTGAATATGTACGCACTGCCGCGCTCTCTCGTAATCAAACTCCTGTATCGAGTGAAAAAAGATTGTCCCCAATCGCGCTTCGCCGTGGGATTCCAATATTGCGAGAGAAAAAAAAGAGGGAAAGGGTGAAAAATATTTTCGTACCCCGTATTCCGGTATTCCTCGAATGTATATTGCTGCACTTCGCATTGCACCCGGATTAGGATCGCGGATTGTACGGATATCGAGCTACTATTCGTTACATGCAAGATGTTCCCGCTGAGATTTTGCGTAAAATTCACTATTATAGGTCGTACAATTACGCACTGTTACGTTACATTATTTTACGTTAATAGTATCGTTGAAATATATCTTTGTGAGGAAAATGCAATTTTTTGTGCGTATATGTGGTGAAAAAACTTTATTAGAATTTAAAAATACGTAGCTAGTGCATCAATATACTGTGCGGCAATGAGCAGGCTCTTTAAATACACTCTTCGAGAATAAATTTATGTTGACCCTATCTACGCTGACCCTTACACGATGCATACATAGATGCTATCTCGTGCGAAAAAATGTATATCGTATGTAAATCATCGCGAGCTGGTTTTATCGTTGATGTGTATCTTTGCATATAAACGACATTCTGAAAATCACTTAGCGATGTTTTGCGGTGTTAGTTCCATAACTTTCGTTACACGAAACAATTTGGAACTGTGCGCGTGATGTATTATCGCGTGTCGCTGATGCGTTGAGAAAAGAGTTACTTTTGAAGAGAGAAGAGAGCAAGTACTGAATATTGAGTCACGAATCAAACATAAGAGTGAAATAATTCACTACTTTTTCAAATGCACAGAACAACACCGCTGACTTTGACTTTTTTCAACTTCGATATTTAATACAATATGTAAACATTTAATATAAAAGTGTGCATAGTTTCTTATTCGTATTTAAATGATTTTCCAGTGGAAAAAAATATAAAACATTCTAAGTTTATGTACCGTTTAATCCGTATCACAATGTTAATAACCATTTTAATAAAATTAATGCACAATGCAATTTCTCATTGTCTTGAAATAAAATCTTAAATATAATATATCCTAAAAAGTCATATCGTATTGCACATCACGCGCGCAGTTATATCGGAAATACTTGAAATACTAAAAATTTGAAGGCACGTCACGTGTTGGCCAAGTCCCAAGCAAGTTCTAAATCCGTGTGGCTCAGGAACTAACAAATATAATACGATAGGCCGCGAAACGTATTCGCTCACATAGCGAGCACATGAGGGTAGCAAGCGCAACAGAAGCTTTCTAAAACGGCGCCGACCGCTTGGAACGCGATATATTACATCCGCATAGCGATAATACACAAACGTGTGGAGTAATGCAAATTACGGTATATTGCTTGTGTGCTGCTTCACAGCGTGTAAAATTAGAAGTTGACATCCACTAAATTGAGCAAAAGTAGGTATAAAGTTCGGTGTACAAGGAAACAGTGTATGCAATAAACATTATAGCTTGTATATCAAAATTCAAATAATTTTTCATTCATTTTAATCAATACAAATATTTTTGTTGACCATAAACCGCACTTTGATTTCGATCTAGAAATATATCCAAAATATCCGAAATGTTATTGTTAATCGGTTTAAAATCGTGATAGATATTTTGTTACGCCATATAATACGAGTATACCTCTATTAAATTTAGGTAAACCAGTTTAAATAAATAGAATGGACCAATATATTAAAGGGAGACATAAAACTGGATATGTTTAATGCGTGTGTTATTGGAGTAATTCCAATAATGGGTATACGGGATATTACGTGGGCAGCAAAAACTGTTACTCAAAATGCAGCGATCCGATTCAGCAAATATAGATTTATTATTGTATCATCTCTGTATTTGCGGTCACGCCCAGTACTTTTCACGCATATTTTTGTAACAATAGCTAAAAAATATTTCGCTGATTTTCAACAACAAATTTTGTTTTAATAATAATGCATAGCAATTTTTATTTTAATAAAAATGTGATATAAACGCATATTTTATGTACCTTCGCTTTTAAGTGTATTTGATGTGAGCTTCAATTAGCAAGCGTATAAAAGAAAACTTGGTAAATGTCCTAACAATTTAAAGAAAAGATTAGTGAACAAAACAGTAAATTGTCACAAATATATGTCACAGTGACGTTACTGCCTCGGTAACGCGTTCTATTTATATACTTTTTTACATTTTCTATGCATGCATCTTCTGATATTTTTTGAACGGCCACACCCCTACATATTGTATCGTCGCGAAAACGAGCGAGCACAAGTACAGCGGATACTTTTTTTCCGGATATGCTCCAATTTTTCGGTTCGATAAAATATGTAGCAATGATAAATGCAGAAAAATCTGGAAATACGATAACGCGACTCAGTGCAATAATTTCGTCGACATCATTAAAATTTGCGTAGTAATGAGAACTGTAAAACTTTCGACCGGTCATCAGATACAATTAAAAATTATCAAATTCTAATGAAAACCACACATTTGAGTATACACGTTCTCTTAAATAAAAATAAAAATAAAAATTATTTTCAAATAGTGTGATAAAATGCGAGTAAAATTCACATAAATATAAGTACAAGTTCTTATTACGTACATTTATTAATATTAAATTAATGTTTATTGTCTTTAACAAATATTTCCGCAAAGTATATGCTTAATTAATTAGAGGTGTTTCTGATTGCAATTGCCATCGCGTTAATTTTAGATCTCACCAATGTTTCGTAATGGAACATCGTTTATAATTGCATAAACAGCGGATTCACACATTTTGGTAATTACCGTGATATCATTGCCGTATATTTCGCAAGTATTGCTTCGGCTTGCGCGATAGAAATAAAATAATATATATCTATATACATATATATATATATATATATATCGGGGTTTTTGTAGGAAATGATTTGTCATAAATTTCATTCTAGACTTCATCGCACGGCAATCAAAAGTTCTGTTAACTTGTACAAAGTTTTATCAATTTACATTCAGAAGGAGACTGTCAGGGGATGATATTAATGATAGTAACGCCGTGAAAGGAAGTCTGGATCTCTAAATACTTACTTCTCGTCGAAACTTTTGAATAAAGGTAAGCAGAAATATACGAATTTCCTCGGTAATATCTGCCTGTATTTTTTTCAACATTACTTTAATAAGATACTTAGCAGAAATACTGTCCACTCTTCTCAGAAAGTAATGGAACGTTCGAAATAGCTACGCGAATCAACGAACTGTGAATAAACGGGTTCTGGAAATAGGAATCTTTCTCTATACGCGGTGTCGCAAACAAATGTAGCGAATACAGATGTCTTAATAAAATTACAATCTAATTCTTTTTAGGAAAAATGTGACAAAAATGCTACATAGATATAAAAATTGTTCAAGTATTTTGACAGTTTTAAATAAAAATCTATTAAAATTAAATTTATTTACACAATAGTATGAAACAAAAATTCTTAATTACGCTTGAAACGTAAATGATATGTGGTATATTTATCAAACTGACCGTGTGTGTAAAAGCACCCAAACCAAATAATTATACTTTAGTCGATGTGATCTCGAGTTTCACGCTACTCGTCGCAGTCTTACATAACTGGAAATATACGCGAAAACATCGCGGCTTCGTTTTACGCTTATCAATCCCGCTAGCTTGGGAAGTTTAAATGAAATAAGTTTTTGGATAGGCGTAGTGTGTGTATATGCCTTGCATAACTTTGGCGTCATCCTCGGTGGCGCCAGCTTATTTCGCGGCAA